AATGAACAACAACCAGAGCTTCTGGTTCCTAGAACACGTTACAGATTCATTCTCATGAGGTAGGTTTGTCTCTATGTTACTAGGTGGAAATCTGGGCACCAAGTAGTTAAGTGAATTTCTCAGAGTCACCCTAGAAAAGATTAATAGTAAAACCGAGGAAAAAAACCCCAAGACTTTTTACTGGTCTGTACTGATACTTTTAGATCAAATTGTTTGTTTTTGTTTTGTTTTTACTTATCAACTGGCCATTAAGAAGCTGAACCAGGATAAAACCAATACACAGTTATTTGGATCTGTCTCTGGCATTCAGAATGGAATGAGATGTGAGAAGGAAACTAAGACTATTTACAGCTTTGTTACAAATATCAGCAGTATCAATGTTAGTTAATACAAAGCTGTAATGTCTAGTATTTTTCCTCTGATAACTGTGATGGGTATATCTTTTGAACCTGCACTGACCAGCTTAATCCAATACAAAGGTTTGGCACTTCTCTCAACCATTCTTATCCTATCAATCAAAGAAAGGGCCTCTTCTTTAACTGTCAGTAAGGATCTCTGAGGATTCCTGCTGCACTTCAAAAAAGTGAAAAATATTATTGGCTTATGCTATATGTTTAATGGACTTGGAATAACTCTAATACAAAGGGAAACAAAATCCAAGGTGAAGTTTACAATAATAATTACTAAAAAGCTGTGTACCAGGATGAAAACTGGAAATATAATCGTAAACAGTTCTAAAATGATTCTGATTAATTCCTTTTCAGTTCCCTGAAAAATTTTTAAAAGACTCTAACCAATGTTATAGTTTTGTTATTTCATAAGGAAAGTTCTTACACTTCTACTTTAAAGATAAAGGGGAGTACTTATGATGATCACTTTCTGTGTCAGAGGACAGCTTTGCAACGTGTCAGGCTGATTGAGGTCTCTCTTTTCTTATTATGAGTGAATCAAGAAATATGCTTAGTTAACAAAATATTTGTTATAAACAGACATAGCCTCTGACATGAAAGATACACACCCATAACAGATTTTAAAATTCAACCCGCCCCTTACTTCTTTTCCCATTTTTTGGGAAAGCCTATAATGACAGAAGAGCAGTTTTCAAGAAATACCAGAGAATTATTTCTACATGTCTCCAGAGAAAATAGATCGTAGTGGGTGTTGAAGGACAAAAGATTCTTGGCATTAGTGTTCTCTCTCTCCCTTTTTTTTTTTTGCTGTAAGAAGCCATCATCTTAAAAACAAAAAGTCTTGTTTAGAAGTTTCATCAACTAAAAAGTGTTGAGAAGTAAAACAAAGTGCAAAAATCTCAGTCTGATAACCCCATGAACTCAGATTTTAAAACAAATATTTGAGACAACATTAACCAAATCATCCATATTGGTACATTCAAGTGCCATAAAAAGTAAGCTACATGCAAGATGTCATTAATACTGAGGTAAAAAATAACAGGTTAGGCATCTGAGTTGTGTTGTGAAAACAAAGCACACTCATATTTACTTCAGGGAAGCCTTAAAATTCAACATGCAAACAGGGGGACACATACTTGTCACAATAGAACTTTAGCTCACAAGGTCATCAATTAAAAACAATTGATTTCAACACAAATGTAAGAATAAACAGGTCTGAAGTCTATCAGGAAAACAATATATCAATATATATTTGAAGCTTGTGATAATGGCTAAATATTGCTTCTAGCAATGTAATTACTTAAGTCATAAAGAAGTAACACAGTATTAACTCAGAGAAGGGTATATTTATGTACAGATCTTGAATAAATCTGTATTCTAGGACTTTTAAAGATGGGTACCGGTGGTCTGGAAATTCAGCCCTGGCTGGAGGCTAAGGGGCACCAGCACAGCACCATTTTCCTTAAACCATCAACATTCTACTTGTGAAAAGTTGGCGTTTAACCTTTGCAGATCCCTTCTATACACCAGGCAGGACAAAGGTGTTTTTCCCTGCACATTTCAGAAGTACACCTAAGAAGGCCACAGAAGTCAAAAGCCCTTTTCCAAAAAAGGCCTTTGTATATACTGGTTTGATATCTCAAGAAAAGGAGTGGTTATGGATTCATAGATTAAAACGTATCATTTTAAGGCTTTTGAAAAATTAGCAAGTTGAATTTTTTTTCTTAAACTACAGAGCCCATGCCACACAAATGACTATAGAAGATTAGGAAATATTCCATCAAATGTTTCTACAGAGTATCCTACTTTGCGTGTAACAGTGGAGAGGACACAACAGCAGTGAACAATACGAACATGCAGGATAAAAGAGTTAAACCTTTTGGGGAAAGTACCAAGTGTCATATGCTTAAATCTGATTTGTCTGAACTTGTTCAATGTCAGGGAGGAAAGCTGGCTTGGGCAATCCATTGCTACTCCTTTGTACCCCACAATACACATTCTACAAAGAGTAACATTTTATTGACAGAAAAATGATCACAAAGAGCTCCCCTAGGACAGTGAACTATCAAGATCAGAGGGTATCATACAGGAGATAACATAGTAGAATTAAATGACAAAAGTTCGATGGTTTTAGTCTTGACATTTCAGATGAGCACCCTGTTTTCCGATCACAGAAAGACCAACCACCAAACAGCCAACGCAAGAATCACGAGAAAAGACATCAGGAAAGGAATACGAGGAGATGGAAAAGTACTAGAGTAGAGGCGGCACTTTTTGAGAGACTTGTGATCCTCAGGGATTGGAATAGAAACCTTGGGAAGAATTTCTTCATTGTCTTGCTGGGGCAAGGCTCTCTCAGTAGATCTCTCTTGCCTTTTAATTTTCTCTTCATCCTGCACTAACAGAGCACGTTGCTGTGTCTGCTTTCACGGTAGAAGATCAAGAAAGACAGAGAAAGATGAACAAAATGACAGATGGAAAAATGCTCAAAAATGATACTTGGGGATGTGCAAAGGATTTGGGAAGATCTTTTGGGACACTCTTTATTCCACTTTACTTTGGCAATTTATCCCAGCAAAGTTTCTGTAACACAGTAGGGTATTCAATAGATAATTTTTTGAATGAATGAACATTAGAAGTCCTGAAAGTTCAAGCAATTGCTCGACTTCCTTAGTTACAGTATTTGTTCTTCCTTCAAGGATACTCACATATGAATTTTGGGTCAGTTTTCCTTGTTTTAGTGCTGCCAATTTTTCTTAGATCACTTGGGCAAAGCCAATAATGAAGAATTCTTCTCGCCATCAGAAAAGTTACTTTTATTACAAATAGAATGGCAGAATATAAAAAGTTATCCTCATATCCCTTCATATACACTTTAAAAACTGCAACAGTTCATTCAGTATGGCAATTAGCTTTTGCTCAAGGGAATGAAAATTTTAATCCCATACATTTTAAAGGTTGCAAAAGAAAAACAAAAGTATAAAAGTTTATATGTGCCTCCAAGGTCTATCAAAAACAAATGAAAACCCCCCACAAATCTCAACAACTGTAAACTCCCTCCCCCTCTTGCAGAATCATGATTAAAAATAACAACCATCGTGAAGGTTTATACATCACATTAAGCAAAGTACTTTTGACACTTTTAAGATAAGTTGTCTTTTCCAATTGTCCAACTGAGAAGTCTTTCTCCCCTGACAACTTCTGTGCTCTGCCATCTAGTCAAGAGATGTTATCTATGAAAGGAAAAACTTGGCTCTAAGTTCTCTCAGTTGGGCCAGCCTTCTCTGATCAGTTTGGAATTTTGACACAGGTTCTTTGCACACCCCTAAGTGATATGTATCAGGGAGAAAGTAGCTGGGGGACTGGTTAGCAAAGAAGAAAAAAGGAAAAGAAAGGATGCAAAATCATAATGATTTTTAAAAGAATATAAAGAGGGAGAAGAAAGACAACATAAAAAGAATAGGGTACAATTAAATTCATTTTCTCTCTGAATACATATTTACATCTTCATGCAGCTTTTCAACCAGCCATGCGCCAAAATAAGCAAACTGAAAGCTGCAAAAGCTGCAGCAGTGGAAATGTTATGTGTTAGGTCAAAAGGCAGTGGGGTGTGAGTTTACTAGTAGAGCCAAAAGAAAAAAAATTACTCAGCAGCTGCTGTTCAGTTCTGGGGGGAATATCTGCTTAGTGCCATGACAAGAGCAAATTTGGATTGAGAAGCACAAGTCATAACAGCAGCTTTACCTCTGGCCCACCAACCTTTCTTTCCGAGGGAAGGACAGAGGTTTTCTTCACCTGGTCATACACAAATTATATAAAATTCAGTAGCCTTGCAATGCAACAACAATGCTGCCAAAGATGGAAGAGGTATCCCCAGAGAACAGAAATATTGCCCTAATTATTAAAGAAAAAGTAAGATATGCCAGAAAGTGGAGTTATCCTTTATAAAAGGTTATATAGGACAGTTCTTCTTATTTATTCTGTTATTCATTTAGAGGAGTAATATACAGAAGCATAGAGCTAAAGTGGCTCAAGTACTCCCCACCAATCTAATTTATAAAAGTCCTTTCTTTAAAGTCCACAGAATGACATACCCATTTCCAACCAGCCCTGAGATGATTTCTGGAAGGTTTCTATTAAGATATAAGATATTTTCTGGAAATGGAGACTGATTCAAATTTACCAAACTTCATCCAAGAGAGCATTAAGTTACTTTTTCAAAGAAATTGAGCATCTTTTACTACTTCCACAGAGTCGAAAAGAAAACTTCTAGAAAATATGCAGTTATGGTTTACAGAGAGGGTTAACCAGGCAAAATAGCAACAAGGCAACAAGACTTTCTCCTGCTTACAGAAAGCAGAGTCACTGTCTCAGTTCAGGCCACATTATCTAGATAAAAGTGATGTCCATTTACATCAGGGAATGGAGGCTGAAGAGGACAGTGAATAAAAACAACTGCATCCTATCACCCCCGGTAACTAGCTACCCATCATTCAAGAATTCTCCAGTCTTACTTGGTGAAACTGGTCTGACTCTACTCGGGGAATTCTTAGCCAATTTCAATCACATTTTGAAAAATATAAAAAGTACCCTTTATGAGTCAACTTTTATCATCTTCTCCAGTTCCAGAAACTAAACAAAGTTGAATAGTTTACCATGAATTCTAAATATAAAAACAAGTTTTTTTAAGTTATTAAGACATCACTACCTTTCTTGACTAGAATTGCTATTGCTATTGGTGAAAACCAGGCATATAATTTTAAAAATTATTATCATCACTCATTAAGTCATTGTGACTACTTATATAACCTGTATAGGCTAAAAATTAAGTAAAGAATTTTTAAATATATGCTTAAGGTAACTTTTAAGGTATCCATCACACAGATTCATTTAGTCAGATGTAGGATTTCTACAATAGGTAATGACAACAACACAAAAAAAGCAGCCTCTGAAAGGTATCTCCAACTTCCTCTGTGACTATCTTATAAAACAACATGTTAAAAGTTTGATGCTGCTCATAAAGACGAATCGTCAATAATTTTTCTAAAATTGAAATACAATCATTAATATGTGGTGTTCTGCATTCTCTGGCTTAGAGACCTCCTTGGTTTATTATATAATTGTGGTCAACCATTCCAGACATTTCTAAGTTGTACAAATGTTCAAATAAAGTTTTAAAAAAATGTTTATCCTGTTCCAATTTTGACCTTACTAAATTTAGTAAACTCTCTGGTCCTTGGAGGCACAGTTTGAACATAAAGTTCCACTGGCTTATGGTCAATTTGTAAACACACACTAGCCAGAAGGAGGCAGTTCTCAAGAGCCTAGTCATCTAATGGTAGCTCTAAATGGCTCCTGTAATTCGACTGGGTAGCGCATATGACTTAAAAAACAAGTGTTTGATTATGAATACCTTAAAGCTGCAATGAACTGGTGAGGAACCAAAGCTAAATTTCAGCTCTAAACTTACTTATTTTATTCACATACAGAACATTACTACACAATACATTTATTTCATTCATTCTCAGAAGTGGTCACATGGACAAAGTACTCACTCCTTCTCCTGTGGGAAGCTGCCCATTGATGTTAAGTGTTCGGAATGGGGAGTGAGTGGATAAGCGTTTATCCCATTCACTAGGCCGTGGTTCTGGTACAGATTCCATGAAGTTCTTTTTCAGCTCACTGATGCTGGCATGATGTTTTTTTATCTCTTCTTGACTTTTGTCTAAATCCTGTAGTTGAAAGGACAAAGATGCAAAATTATAAATACTCAGAGGAAAAAAACACATCAAGGGAAGCCCACCAGACTATGGGCACTGGTAGAAAACACCACATCCAGGGCAGATGTTACTAATCCATAAATTGCATTTAAATTTTAAATATACGACATGGTATATTTGCTTGCTTTTTTTTTTTTTTAATGAGGTGCTTTTCTTGGAAGCAGTGAAGCATCATAACCCCACAGCTCTTAGCAGTTCTGTAACCCAGAGACCTCGCTCCTTAATTTTGCAACTTTTCTTCGCATTAGGATGCAGCGCTAGATCTCCAACTCCTCATCCCAAGAGGGTAATCTCACAGCTCAATTAGCCTTGGCTTGATATGAACTGAATGAGGCTCTGCTCAGGCAGGATGGAGATAGCAATAGATAAGGAGCAACTATTAAACAAAGGACATGATAAAAGATGCAACTGCCACCAAAGCTGCTTTGCTTTGGTGAGTTGCAATCATACAGCATCCCTCTATTTCTACCTAGAGATAATTTTGCTTCCTTATTACTAGGTGGATATTACTGGTTTTGATAAACAGTAATAGCCCTTTCTTAAGAATTTATTACTAGAATTTCTGGCTCAAGCCTTGAGAGCAAATTGTTACCACCTATGAAAAATCACTCAGGTATGTAATATAATGGCTTTTTTTCTTTACCAATACTATTCATGCAAACTAAAAGCCTTATGCCTTCCAGGACGCCTGGGTGGCTCAGTTGGTTGAGCGTCTGCCTTCAGCTCAGGTCATGATCCCAGGGTCCTGAGATCGAGCCCTGAATCCAGCTCTCTGCTCAGTAGGGGTCTGCTTCTCCCTCTCCCTCTGTGTTCTCTCTCAAGTAAATAAAATCTTAAAAAAAAAAAAAAAAGCTTTATGCCTTCCAGCTACTGACAGCTTTACTTCATCCCTTAGTAGAATTCAAAATAGGGACCTTATTCCAGTAACTTTCAATGGACTGGAAGTAATTTAACAAGAATTCATCAGATACCTTAAAATCTTCTCAACAATTTAAAATATCTCAACTGTTCCAGCAGATATGGATACTGGACAACTAGGTTTAATATCCCTTAAATGGGATATTCCAGGGAGAAAGGATCAAAACTTAGGTTAATAAAGCTAGAAATAACATTCACGTTTATTTAACAGGAGGCATATAAAACTTTTAAAAGGTAGACTTGGCCAGAAATAAAATGGGAAATACAACTTAAAGACAAAAACTGAAATGTTCTTTGTCCAACATACTTGTCCAAAAAAGCTCAGAAGATCTATGCTTGAGATCAAAATATGTGGGAACCTGTCACTTGATGAATGCTCAAAATTCTGTGTTTATTATATATCACGGCAGCTCTGTATCCAAGAAAAGCATAATATTAAATATATCTTTTAATATGCTGTGTAAATTTTGAGATTAGCCTGTCTTTCTTTCTTTCTTTCTCTGTGGGAAATCACCACATTTTGGGAAAAAAAACTGGAACTCATTTAAATAAAAATTTGTTTGAAAAATTTTTCTGGAGCAATGTATGCTTCAACTAAATAAAATTTTTTTTCGAAAGCAATGTCAGAGGGAAAATAGCATAGGAAAACGAATTGGTGAGGTACACAACATAATTTTGATTCTGGAGATATTCATTCAGAAAATTCACTTACTAGTCCATTCTTATTTTTGCAAGAGTAAACCATGTATATTTGCTTTGAGATCAAAGAGAAAACTAACCCAACAAGGGCAATCCTGTAGCTTCCCCATAAAATTACCTCTTGCTTGTTGGGATGCAATGTGAGTATAGCCCAGGAATTTGGGCTTCACCATGAGGAAACAACAGTGTGCACTTTTATTCTAGCTGAAAGCAAGAAAAGCATGTTTACTAGCTAAAGAAAAGCATGAATAAGCTTGGTCAAAGACTCAGTAGTAGGCTAAGCAACTGAGACCCACAAGGCATGTAAGGCCCTGTGACCTAGCTCCTAACTGGAAATTAAATCTGCCTGGTCCAAGGGGCACCTGGGTGGCTCAGTCGTTAAGCGTCTGCCTTAGGCTCAGGTCATGATCCCAGGGTCCTGGGATCGAGCCCCACGTTGGGCTCCCTGCTCAGCGGGAAGCCTGCTTCTCCCTCTCCCACTCCCTCTGCTTGTGTTCCCTCTCTCACTGTGTCTCTCTCTGTCAAATAAATAAATAAAATCTTAAAAAAAAAATCTGCCTGGTCCAAGAACAACTTAACACATTTGGGAGAGTTACAAGTATGAATGGAGCAAAACAAAAATGAGCAAGAGATGCTATGCTAAAACCATAACTCTCTGGGCTAGCCTCTTAATATGAGAGTGGCGATTCTTACTCTTCTTGCCTAGCTTTTGATTGGTTTGGAACCTGAGAAAAATAAATGTTTCAATAAAATCAGTAGCTTCTGAAGGAGCTTTCTCCATCCTTCTTAGCTGGCTCTGTTAGAAACCTGTGGGGGCACAGAGTAAAATTAAGATCTCAAAGGGACCTGTTCCAAATAGAATTTGTCATAGACACTTGCTACAGGTTCTCTCTGGGAGATGGAGGAGGAGGCGGTAGATCTAAAAATGAATTCGACCTTATTTGGCCAGAACAAAGCATTAGTGGGGGTTGGGTAGGAGAGATGCTTTAAAACAAAACAAAACAAAACAAAAAAACTCTGCTAGAGTGACAGATAACTTGAGAGAACATCCTTATCGGGTGGGGGGGGTGGGTGGAAGGGAGACAAAATTTTTTTTTTACTTGTAACTAGAGAATGATGGTTAGCCAAATTACTTTGGCTGTTTTTAGGCTAGATACTTTTTGATACTTATCATCTTATAATTTTAGCAGCAGCCAAACCAAACCACTAAATATAAAATGTTCTCAAAAAGTAGTTAGTAGTTTTAATTTTCAAACACACGCTTATTAAGAAATCCCCTCTTGTGGCTATCAATGCAATGTTGGGGGAAAAAACACATCACACACAGGGACTCTGTGAGTCTCAGAAGCCATAACACACCTCATTGAACAAATGACAAATATATGATTGGTACTGCAGGTTCCAGTTAAAAGGAAGCACTAAAGGGGCGCTTGGGTGGCTCAGTCGTTGAACATCTGCCTTCGGCTCGGGTCATGATCCCACGGTCCTGGGATCGAGCCCCGTATCGGGCTCCCTGCTCCGCGGGGGGCCTGCTTCCCCTCTCCCACTCCCCCTGCTTGTGTTCCCTCTCTCGCTGTGTCTCACTCTGTCAAATAAATAAATAATATCTTAAAAAAAAAAAAGAACAAAAGGAAGCACTAAAGATGGACTAGTGAAGAAAAAGGCATGATTGGGATTGGGAGATGTTACATTGCCAAGTACATCAACTGACCTCTGTAATTCTTCCTAATCCCGGAAGCAGAACCATTCACGTCTAGTTTTAGTTATGAGCTCAAGCAGAGATCTAGCTGCTGAGTTTGAGATGTCCTAGAGTCCAGCCTTAAAAAACCTCATGTTACATGAGGTAAGTGTACATAAAGCATTTGATATTGTGCCCATCGTACAGTACGTGATTAATGAAGGCTGGCCATAATTTTTATTACTTTTATTAAAGTACCTTATACATAGGAAGCACTCAAAATATATGTTTTGACAAAAAATAAGACACAGTTAAATAACTATTAGAGGCCATTACATTAAACCAGAGTTCTATCTAAAAAAGTTTCTTCAGATATCCAGTTTAATAATATTTAGCACATTTCTCCTATGTTCATCTTTCAGGTCTCAGCTAATATGTTATCTCTCCAGAGAAAACTTCCGTCCATCTTATTCAGAGTAGATTTCCTTTCTCAGCACAGCATACTGCTTATTTCCTTCATAGCTTCTATAATAACTTGAAATAATTTTATTGCTATTTTTTAACTGTTTACTGTCTCTCTCCTCCCTACTTCATCTTCCTCTGTATTTATATTTATATTTCCTTCAAATTTAAGTTAAAATCCCCAGTATCA